CTCTCTTCTTCTACCACTGTGGACAACACTTATGGGTCAGGAGATATGCAGAGTCAAGCATCTCCTCCTCGTCCTCCACCTTAGGACGATTCCATGCTGTGGTGGGAGAATGCCTTGGCCGTGGAGAATGAAAAGGCGGCAGAGAAAGGGAAGTCTTGCTCCTTCGATGCGTCTGGAGAAGAGTTTAATAAAAGCTTTTGGCTTGAAGAAACAGAATAAGTGAAAGAGGGTGGCGAGACTTCTGCGGGAGAAGGCAAGAGTACTGATTGTTATGGTCATGGATTGTCTTTCGACGTTAACATTTGGGACATTTTGGAACTAGAAAAGGAACTTATCATGTAATGCATGATTTCATTCTGGGTCTATTGGGGAAGTGATCATCACTACTTTCCTTTAGTTCATCTCGTTTGTTTCAATCTAAATGTGTGGATTTGATGGGAAACAAAATAAAGAAAAACTAGCTATTAATCTTGCTACATGGATCATCCACATGTTTTGTTCCACAATCCATTTTAATCCCATTGTTATCTAAATCACTTCAATTGGTCACTTGGGTTTTCACAATACTAACTCATGTTGCATTGCATCTCAAGTCTCAACCTCGATCTTGTGTATAGCAGCTGGCCCCTCACATGATTGTGAAGGGTAAACCTGCCTAAAATGAGGGCCCACATCTCCCCTCCTGTATTCTCCAATATCACCTAAAGTAGTTAGGGGCTTTGGATAAATCAGGTGAGGCCAACCCACCTGAGGTATCATCTACTCATTAAGATTCRAACCCATTGCATATAATGCCCTAAAAATTACCACTTGGATAGCCTTGTAAAAATTCGTTTGCATCATATTCCTAATTCAATTTCTTTTATTTCGTTTATTGCTTGTTTTTGTGTAAATTATGTATTGTATACTAAACAAAAAAGGAATGTAGTGGAATTAATTCATTTAGGTGGGTTAGATTTAATTAACTTGGATTATTCTAAAGGATATAAAGCAAATGGGCCAACGGTCAAATTTTTCAGCTTAACTCTCCTTTAATAATATTAATAACATTATATATATCATTTAAACATTTAATCGATCATGACACTAATAAGCATGTACTGACAATTCTAGATGATGATAATGATCGTAATAATATATCAAAAAATTTCTATAAATAGTGGGGAATGAGGTTAAAAGTAGTAGTTCAATTTACAATTTAAACCTCACAATTAAATAGGGACTAAATTCAAAAATAAGTATTTTAGTCAAAAGAAAGTTCTACAATCTTATTCATAATTTGAATAGTAGCATAAATATATAATTATAGATGTGTTCATTTTTTTCTATAATTTGTTTTGATATTTGTGTGAAATTAATTATGATATGCCACACTTACCTTTTGTTTAATATGATAATTATATAATATTATACATGTGTTTGAATGTTTTTTTTTGCAAAATTTATATATTTTTTTCATTTATATATTTTTATATTTTATTAATTTGTATACATTAAATGTTAATACATTTGACCCAAAAGTTGAACTATTGATCTTTTCCAAACAGTAAAATAATTTCATTTTTTGTTATTTCTAAGTTATGTATTTAATTTTCATTGTTAATAAAAATAATTCTTGTCTATTACACTTATTTTTTAATTTTAGTAATAAAAATATCATAAATGTGTAATTTTTCTACATTTTGTAATTTTCTATATTTATTTTTATTTTAAAAAATTTACTACCAAACTATGATTTCATAGGTTGATCAATTTGATTCAGTTGGTTGAATTGGTTAGTCACCACTTGGACAAATAATGGTTTTGTGTTTGATTCAGTTTTAAAATATATGGGTTTGTATTGTTAAAAATATTAACATATATCTAATTAATAACATTTATTAGTAAAAGTAACTTAAATATAGGATTTAATACAAGAAAATGGGAGTTAATACTTTTAACTATAAGACTTAAAGGGAGGGGATTAAATGAGGTGAAAAGTAATAATTGAAATTATATTTTCAACCCTTATAATTAGAGATAGACTTAATATACAAATATGGGCATTTTAATCACCACTAGTAAGTGTGCACGTGCTTTGTACGTGGTAATTCTGGATGATGATAATGATAGTAATAATGTATGCAAAATTTTCTATAAACTTTGTGTTTTTGATTTTTTGGATTTATGATTAATGAGGTGTAGATTGCAAAAACCAAATTTGATTACATAAACACCTCATCCAAATATGTGATAATTGGATCAAGTTGTGAAGTTTCAAGTATCATTTACAAGTCTACTAGTTTGGCTAGACTCTTCTTTTTGTAATGTTTTATCTCTTTAGTGTATCTTTTTTATTCATTTATGAAATAAAAGATTTAAATAGAATGAATTAAATGGGGTATAAAGTAGTAGTTCAATTTATAATTTAAACCTTGCAATTAAAAAGGGACTAAATTCAAAAATGAGTATTTTAGTCAAAAGAAAGTTCCATAATCTTATTCAATTTTTCTATATATATATATATATATATTTGTATTTCTATGTGTAAAAATAATTATGGTTTGTTACACTTACTCTTTTATTTAATATGATAAATATATGATACTATACATGTACTAGGATGATTTTTTGCAAAATTTATGTATTTTTCATTTTTTTGTTTTTATATTTTATTAATTTTTATTATTTATTTATGACATTAATGGTAACCCATTTGACCCAAAAGTTGAATTATTGATCTTTGTCAAATAGTAAAATAATTTCATTTTTGGTTAGTTCCAAATTATGTCTTTCATTTTCATTATCGATACATAAAAGTAATTCTTGTTTATTACACTTATTTTTTTTTGTTTGATTAAGAAAAATATCATAAATATGTTTAATTTTTCTATATTTATTTGTATTTTAAAAATTTTATTACCTAACTATGATATGTTACACTTACTATTTTGTTTAATTTGATAACTATATGATATTATACACGTGCCTGATTTTTTTTGCAAAATTTATGTCTTTTATATTTTATTAGTTTTTATTTTTTATTTATGACATCAATGGTTAACACATTTGACCCAAACGTTGAACTATTGATCTTTTCCAAATAATGAAATAATTTCATTTTTGGTCAATTCTAAATTATGTATTTCATTTTCACTATGAATAAAAATAATTCTTATTTAATACACTTATTTTTTAATTTGATTAATAAAAATATCAAAAATGTGTCTAATTTTTTCTACATTTTTGTAATCTTCTAAATTTATTTCTACGTTAAATTTTTTATTACCAAACTATGACTTCATAGGTTGATCATTTTGATTCAAATTGTCTAATTGCTTAACCATCACTTGGATAAAGAGTGGTTTTGCTTTTTAGTTTGTTTTAAAAATATAATAAGTGTACACAGGCTTTGCATGTGGAAATTCTAAATGATGATAATGATAGTAATAATGTATCCAAAGTTTTCTCTAAACTTTATATACTTTTTCTATTTTTTGTTTTTTATTATTAATTGGATTTAGAGTGTAAAATCCAAATCTGATTACAAAAACACTTCATCCAAATATGTGATAATCAGATCAAGTTGTGAAGTTTCAATTATCATTAAGAGGTTTATTGCTTGGCTAGATTTTTCTTTTTGTATTGTTTATACTTTTTGTGTATCTTTATTTTTTGTTTATTTATCAAAAAATTGTAAGATTTAAATGAGGGGAATTTAATGATGTAAAAAGTAGTAGTTCAATTTACAATTTAATCCTCATACTTAAATAGGGACTAAATTAAAAAATGAGTATTTTAGTCATAATAAGGTTCAAGAATCTTATTCATATTTTTAATAGTAGTGTAAATATATAACTATATGTATGTTCAAATTTTCTTTAATTTTTTTTTTATATTTCTGTGTGTAAAATTAATTCTAATATGTCATACATACTTTTTATGTATTTTTATAATTTATTAAGTTTTATTACTTATATATGATAATAAAGCTTAAGACATTTGACCCAAAAATTGAACTATTGGTCTTTGATAAACAGTAAAATAATTTCATTTTTGGTTAATTCTAAATTATTTAATTTAATTAAGAAAATTATCATAAATGTTTCTATTTTTTCTACATTTTTATAATTTTCTATATTTATTTATATTTTAAAAATTTTATTACCTAACTATGACTTCATAGGTTGATCAATTTGATTCAGATGGTTGAATTGCTTAGACACAACTTTGATAAAGAATGGTTTTGTTTTTTATTCTGTTTTAAAATATATGAGTTTATATTGTTAAAAATATTGACATAGATCTAATTCGTAGCTATTGTTTGTGATTAATAACTTAAATAATAAGAGAAAATGGTAGTTAACACTTTAATGAGAGTGGATTAAATGAGGTGGAAAGTAATACTTGAAGTTATATTTTCAATCCTTACAATTAGAGCTGACATTGAAGCTGTAGTAAACTGTAATAAACCGACTTTTATACCCTTTCTCAAATAAAGAAATAGAGGATAATTTTCGTCCAAAAAATATTTCTCTCTATATCCAAACTTTTATATATTGTATAGATTAAAACTGAAATTAAAGCTATAATAATATAACTTTTATTCCCTTTGTCAAACAAAGAAATAGAGAGTAATTTTAGTCTAAAAAACTTTCACTCAGCATCCACACTTTTATATATAGTATAGGTTCGAGTAATTCAAGTAAAATAATTGATCATTAAGAAGCTCAAGTATAGTATTTGAACTCCCCTTGTCATGTGAAGAGATGGCCATATAACTAACAAACTTGAGCATGTTTTTTCAAACTCTCTTAAGTCTCTTGAGCATTTCATTGTTCACATTTATCTTTTCCCTTCTTCCTACACTTAGGAAGCTTAATTACTTCTCTCCCATTTTCATATATGAATTGGATATTTAGTGCTCCTTGAAAGGATGCCTTTGACCACAAGAATTTTATTGATTATTATAAACAT